AAGCTACTGGAAAGTTTTACTTTTGACCCCCCCCATAATAGTACCAACTAGATTCACTTTCCTATCAGAAAAGATACTGTTGAAGAAAATCCAAGCATTTTTACTGTAATAAAAGTGATGACAGACCAAAAAAAAAAACACACATCATTGTGTTCAAACAAATGTTCTTAAACAGTTCAAAACAAATCAAAATTTATCGTATATAGAAAATGCAAATATAATTATATAAATTCGGCGCTTTTGAAAATTACTTTGAATTATTGTGTATACTGACACAAAAATAATTTAAAAAAAAATAAAAAAACACACATCACTGTAAAATCAATACATACATCCGAGCACTCAAAATCTAAAAAGTTTACCGGAAAGTCAAATTCATTTTTAAGTTGGATATTGGATATTTACCTGTAATTTAACAATAATTCTCATTCAACGATTGTATATAATGTATAGAAATGTAAAAGATATTATAAAAAAGATACAGGTATTCACTTATCAGTTATCATTTATATAATTTCTCAACAAATCCAACAAAATAAAAAAATAATTTTGTTATAACCTCTAGCAACGGCGCCCCTTTGAAGACTTAGAATTTGGGGCCCCAGGGCAATTGCCCCCCGTCGTAATTAATTTAACCTACTGTCTAATGACTAGGGCTAGGATTTTGTAGCATTTGCATTTTCTTTCATAGTACTCCAGTCTCCAGGACATAGCTAATCAAAAACAAAATTCGATTCATTCATCACAGAGTTCAAATATGCAATTTCGTTTTTGCTTTTTTTGTTTTTCTTGTGATATTCGTAAATAAATGCTTTATTGGTACTTTTTTGTCAGTTTATTAGCTTTTTAATTGGTTTTTGTTAATTATACGCATATTTTTTAACATTTACGTACATATTTATCTAAATTATTATGTTTTCATTTATTTTAATTGTATAATTATATATATTTTGTGAATTCGTAGTGAAATATTATCGCCTTATCGGAAAAATTGTTTTCAAAATATTACAAAATATCAAAGAAATTTAAAATATCTTATAGTCTTTTTTAATATTTATGTAATAGACAGGTACCTAAAATATAATAAAACAATTTTTAATTTTTTTTTTTTTCAATATTTATAAATTGTACTTAGTTGTTAAAAATATTTTTCAGCTAAACTTAAAAATGTTTAAGTTTTTTTTAGTTGCATTTTCCTGGTTAAATGCTTTTTTTTTGTAGCGTTATTGGCAATTTTTTAATTCCTTTATTGTAGGTTTTGAGTGCTTCATTTTCCTACCCCTACTAATGACTAATAGTTATTACTTTAATAAATTACAATAAGATCATCAAATATGCTAAGTAATATTATAGGATGACAGACCGTTTTCGCTCAGAATTGTTTTTCGTATACAATGATTTTATATCATTGAATTAAAATTTAACACCATCCATTACACTATTACAGTGACCCACCTGTAACTTACTATACAGCAGAGCGAGTATAAGTGACTTCAATTACCCATTTTTTTTTAAATTTAGACTAATATCAATTTATGAGGAACCCTCTTTTAAATTTTCAAGTTTTTGATGAATATACCTATAAAATGATGATAGCTCGGCGTTCTGAATAGGCAATTCGGGTACATCAAAGTCGTGATTAGTCACGTTGTCTGTGGAGGAAGGGGGGAGCTAATGGACTTCCAATGGTCTTCAATTAGTATTACCCGTCCAGTTCATGGGACTAAGGTAATATTAAGTTTCTATAATTATATACAAAATATGTGGTTGTATTGTGTTTTTTCACGTGTATAATATATTAATATTAGGTAGTACCTAGGTACCTTAAAATTTAAAAAAATTATTTTTATCTATATCTATAACTATAACTAGATAAATTCAATTTTTACACTACATATCTATATAATTTTAAATTCGGATATCTTAGCTATTAGCTATATCTATATAATTGTTTTTATCTAAGCACAACACTGCTGACAAACCGTCTCCAGTCAGAATCATTTTTCGTATAATGATTTATCATTGAATTCAAATTTAATACCATTCACACAGAGTGACATCCACTTACCCTGCACCTATTTTTATTCATGCAAATTTGTAAATTATTTTAATGTAGAAATTCATAAAATGTTTTCTTTTATACCTAAAATTTGAAAATTTAACATCTTTCCTATATAAGATTTCCCATAAGTTTTTCTACCTTAAACAAAAAAAGTTTTATCTGAAAGTCAAATTTAAACTAACGTTTTCTCATCGAACGATTTTCTTATTTTGTAGTAATTTATTAAAAACCATAGGTACTTGAAATTTCCGCCAAATGTTTATATTAGCTATTTCTTGTACATTTTCTAAATACGGTCAAAATGGTTTAACTCTTTTTAAGCTATTGATGGACTTTTAAAATTTTAAAATTTTTTAGTTTTTTTTCCTATAGAATATATCGTTTAATTTTAATACACGATTTCTCATAAGTTTTCATAATAGTAGTTGAAAAATACTATAGATATATGGATACGATTTTTTTTTATAATCATTAAAAGTTCATATTTTGATAAAATTTATCGAAATTGCGAAAATTTCCAAATTATTTTGTAGTTTAAAATGTAGAAAATGTTTAATTTTTAAAACTGAGAATTGAAAGCCCCTCCCCCCCCCAAAAAAAAAAACCTAGGGCATACAATTTTAATAATATGCTATATTGTAATGGTCTGCTTGCCTTTGATATATTCAGCCACCCCCCCCCCCCCCCAAGTCAAAAGTTGAAATTGCGCCTATGGTTAGGTTTACCATTTAGTACATTTTTGCATATTTTTGAAAAATGAGGGCATATTTTATGAATTTTAAGAGCTAATTTGTATGCATTATCCATTAGTTTTACAGTTCATAAGTATTTCAGAGTGTAACCAAAATCTAAAAATCTTTTTTAATAGATATTTTAAGCTCAAATTTGGTCGAAATTAGATTTTCAAATGGAGAATATAGATTTTAGTATTTTTTTTTTACTTTAAAAATATTATTTGAGGGTAGGTAATTGAAACTTTTAAAGAATATTATTATATTTTTTACACACAATGATGTTTTCAAATACAAACTTTTCGAAAATACCTAATTAATGAAACAACTGCGTATTAATGCATGATAGTAAAATAAATTAGGTACTTACCTACTTTAATAGCAAAAGTATCATAAAATATATTTAATAATATAGAATGACACTCACCTTCTTGAAAGGTCTCAGAATCGTGTAAGTACTAAGGTCAGGTTAGGTTAGGTGCCTACTATAGAAATTATTTTATATCATTAAATTCAAATTTTAAATTTAACACACCCATCTATTAATTCAGCGTCTCCTATCGACACCCCTACTGTACCCACTTGCAAAACCTTTTTAAAATTATATCTGTGGAGTGTGTAGACTAAAAATATAAATAGAATACAATAAGATTTATGATGGATTCAAAATAATCGGCGTGGCGTCCCTTATGGCTAAAAAATTGGCAAATTACTAGTCCGTCTATACATTAATAAAGGCCTGAGTCAACAGGATAATCATTGATCATTGTACCTATATTGTATATTGTATATTAATGGTATAATAACATAATAATATAATAACCTGCTACGTCTTTGCAACTCGGTAGTGCCCGTTGCCCGTGGGCGTAAGCCGTAAGTCGTTAACTGTATATACAGAAATATAGCCAAATACATGTAAATATTATTTCAATGAATGATTATAGTATTATACTTAATATCACATAATAATATTATTAATATTTTTATTGACACATCGTGTAGACGCTGTATTCTGGTATTCATATTATTATCATGTAATATTATGTTATATACGTGCTACAGAAATTTATTACATTTTCCACTATCGATAAAGGTCGAACCACCTATTTTTTTAGTTATGCCTTTAATTAATATATTATTGGACTACTGTCAAAACTCACATACCATAAAAAAGTGATTTCCTAGTGCAAAAGGTAGCCGGTAGGTACCAAGTTTTTTTCGGATTAGGATATTACAACTCGACTTCTCGAGTCAATAATTACCTATGTAGAAAATATGGTATCGGTACATGCGCGTATACATGGTGGTTTAATTATGGTTCAAACCTAAACCGAAACGTTTTCAAACAATATTATTTTTCCACATGCAGGCATGCAACTATTATATTATTATTTTACCCATGTATTTTAAATTTTTTTTAATATTATTTTGTATTAACATTATTATTTAAATATAATATATTATATATAAATAATACATTCAATATACAACATACAATTATTTTGAGTTTTGTATGATAGGATATTATCGGTAGGTACCACGATTTAAGATGGTATCTTAAAAACAAATCGTGGTAGGTAGGTACTTTGGGGATGTTAAAAATAATAAATACGGTGTGTGCATGGACCTTATACTAAGTATAATTACTTATATTGTATAATGTCTATGGGTGTGTGACGTGTTTATATTTCAAAAAATGATAACAAAGTGAAAATCGAAGTTCCTCGATCGTCCTATATAGGGGCTAGGAGAAACTTCGCTATCAACGTCATACACTTGTCGTTATCACAACTCACAAGATGAAAGTAAAAAACATTCATCAATCATCGTTTCACTCAGATACTGAAACGAAAATAATAATATTTATTTTCAATAGGTTCCTATTCTAATATTATAGTTTCTCTTCTTAACTCTTTAACTCTACAAATACATTTTTAATGTTTCAAAACGTAATGTTTTTTTTGTAACATCTGAAGTAGAAATGTTATCCGTGAGAACTGCGATTGGCAAACCGTTTTAGTCAACTGCACAGATCTTCAATCTTCACTGAGACAGGTTAAAAGCAAGTGAACCCATGACAGACATGGTTCACTATTGTGTTTTCCACATACACATTTCTCGGTAGACTTGTTAGTCGGTAAGTATTCAAGTATGATTTTCATGCACAACATTTGACATACACCTTATTTTTAGACCCAACAAATGAAATGCGTTTCAACAAACAGGAGATGATCACATTGGCACAACAACCGTCTAATAAATTTGATAAAGAAGGGCTGTTATTTGTACGCGAACGCCAAGAAGGGTTTTTCAGAAGAACTGAGAGTGAGTATTTATAATTTGACTCATTGGTACCTACCTTTGAAATGTACCTATAGGTGAAAAAAAAATAAAGTTTAACTAAGTACAATTTTACCATTCATATACCCTTAGGGCTTAGAGAGTTACTATATTGTTATAATCTAATATTTGCATAGTCATCAGCTTGGCATGTTTTGTATGAATTGTGTGTTTTGAGTACATAATTGTTTGGAATTTTGCATGTTACATTTTAGTACTTTTAAATTAATATCATTGTTATTTATTGGTTTAATAATACTCATAAGTCTTGGATTTGAACCATATAACACTGCGTGTAAAAACATATTGGGCAGTTTTGAAATAACTGAAAACAAATATAACAATCAGAATTAACACAATTATTTTAACAATGTAAAAACCCCCAAACATAGGTTTAAGAAAAAAATCAGTTGATAATATAAGTCAAAATAGCTATGGATAAGTTATTAGGTACGTTTATTGTTATTTTTATTATGATTTATGACTATAATAAATACATACAAGATAAAATTTAGTCCGATAATATTTAATGTTATTGTAAACAAGTTCAATCTACATCAATTAGTAATAATTCATTCATAGATAAAGCCTATAGTAATAATATGTGTTAAATGATATAAATACAATTAATTAATTATTTTATCACTAAATAATTTTAGATTCCGTTTTTCTAGAACATTGCAGAAGTGTCACTAATGGGTAGTTACTTCATTCAAAAATTTCATGCAGTAAGCAACTTTACTTATTTGTGTTTGTGGGATTAAGCTTTGTGTATGATTATATGAATAACTAATGCAGTTTTTTAAATAAATTTTATTAGCAAAAAGTTGTTATTATTTTATAATACCAACATAATATTTTTATATGGCATTATAAATTTATTGAATGTATTGTTTTGTTCTTTTTTCTAATCTTAGATTTTATTTTATTAAAAGAACCTAAGCTTTTGAATTTTGATAAACAAATATTATGAAGTGAGAATTCTTAAATAATTAAAGACAAGGGTTAGAATGTTTGATGTATAATAAAATGTATTATTATGAATATAATGTAATTATTTTCTATAAATCTTTTACTTGTTAATATAATTTTTAACTATTGTACCTAATTATAGCGTAGCAGATCTAAAATAAAAAGTAATAAATATAAAAATCAATTTGAGTATAAATATGGGAACTCTAATGATTGAGGTTATTATGGTTAAGTAAAAATACAATTTTATGACTATATTTCATATTTTTATAAAAGAGAAAATAATTATGTACATTTTTGAAATTATACTCTGTGTGGATTTCTAAGATTGTGAATTGTGCTATTCTTGCATATAACAAACAAAAATCTAATTATTGCATTTTGAATTATTTGTTTTTTGTTTTGGTTAAGAGACTAGAGGTCTTATGTTTTTTCAATCATAATTGATTTTTAGACTATTAGATTTATTTAAACAATTTCAGAGAGAGATTCAAAGCGAAGCAAAAAACGGGAACGTCTAAGCGATTTGAACTGTTATGGCGGATCACATAAAGGTATATGATTATAAGCATTTAGAATAATTAAATAATTATATAATACATAAACAAAATATGAGGTATGTTAAGTGGTTTATTTACGGTAGAACAATACCTATATCTTATTTGAGTCAATCTGGTTTACAATGTTGCAAAATAACATTGGTATAGTCTGTGTATGGTAAATGGGAATTTAAGATAGCTGTAAACAAAATTTAATTTTGATGTTATATCTAATTAAACTAATCAATCTAGTATTTATATAAAACAACATACATGTCTACATATACATATATTTTTTTTTAATTTTATCACTGGCTAAAACTTTTAATTAAAAATTATGATTTGTGGTTGGCTTTTAATGGCTGACTTAAAAATTGAATTAAATTTAGGGAATTTATTAACTGTATTATTACAATGTTTATAAAACATAGTTTTTCCCATCTTTGTATTATAAACAGACTGTACATATAGTTGTCCATTAATATTTAGCATGAGACTTATATATTGTTGCATGATACATCCATATGCAACCCATTACTAGCCAACCTAACAGTTAATTGATAATTTATGTTGAAATAATCTTTGAACCTTTAGTTTCTTTATGTTGCATGTTGATAAGTGATAACTTTTTATGTCAAAACCCAAGGTAAAAATATTAATGTAACTAATACAATAATTTTATTTTTTCATTATTGTTCTTATATAATTATGAATATAATAATATTATACCTACAAGTCTTTCTCATTGTATTATAATTTTACAGGTGAGAATGATTTTTACATATTTATTTAAATCTATACTGTGTAGGTATAATGTATTGTGTTATATACATTATACAAACACAATATATAAACTGGAGTGCTCTGCATTTTTTGGTAGACAAAGTGACAGTTCACTTCAAAATATTTTATTGATTAAGTTAAAATTTAAATAAACACAGTTAAAATACATTTTTATTTATCTTAAATAACTCATTTTTATATTACATATTTACATGTATCCTTTCTGCAACCGTCTTCTATGAATTTCCACATTCTAAACACTTAGTATGTTTAGTCGTGTTTAATGTCCATAGTCCATACTTCAATCAGCCACACCCGTGCACACACCTATGAACATATATTTATTAGTTTAATTATTGTGTTCAACAGATTATTTTGATTAGTGGGTGATTATTTCAATTTATCAGTGTTAAATATTGACTATTATAAAGTCAACAAATATTGAAACATAAAAAGTAAATTATATTAATCAATTTCATAATATTGTTACTCTAACATTTGTTTCTAATGTTAAATGTTAAAATATATTCTGCAGTAATATTCATAATATTATGTTTGATTCTATAAATTGTGCATACATAGCCAACATGTGTTCATGTTAAATATCTTTTATCAAATTTCAGTTTGAAATATTTTATTGATTACACTAATATATATATTTTATAATTTTTTTAAAGCTAATTTTGAGCGTTGGTGTCGTTTAAGAGGAAATCTGCTATTTTATCTTAAGTCTCATGATCAGCTATCAGATTTACTAGGTGTTATTGTTCTACAAAATTATTCTGTACAATTAGATGAGTCTCCACCAGAAGGACCATTTAGTTTTCAAATAGGTAAACAATTTTCAAAGTCAACATTTTTAATTACTTAAGAACAACTACTAATAATTTAAATTAATAGTATTTGAAAATGGTATTTGTCAACAAATTGCTGCACATACAGAGCCAGAAAGAGATTCTTGGTTAGAAGCTATAAAGCAAGCAAGCTACGAAATCATGCGGGCTAGACTGTTGGATTTAAGGAGGCAATTAGAAGTTAAACGAAAACCAGATTTAGATATTAATATGTGGAGATTACGTAAAAATCAACCTAAACTAGGTACATTTTAATACATTCTCTACCTATTTCTAAATTATTTTTACTTCCATATTTTATATATGACCATGTCCATGTTTTAGATCTAACAAAGGTACCATTGTGCGAAATATGTTTTTCTTGTGATAACCTGATGTGTGATGGGCATGGGCGTTCTCCAAATCCAGCAATTGTTGTATCGATTTGTATACCAAGTGAAAATGTTTGGATAAACTATGCTAACACAGAAGTTATTATTGATAATAGTAATCCAACATTTTTGAGAACTATATGGTTACAATGCAGTGATGGATTAACTGAGGATTGTATCCTTCGAGTATCAGTCTATGATGTCCGAGAATGTATTTCTGGAACCGCTGTGAAAATGGGACATTGCGAAACAACACTTTGTTCGTTGTTAGAAACTACTCATTCGGGAAACAATGGGCAACGTGTTCGTTTACCCCTGTCATCACCAAGTATTAGATCCGATTTAGATAAAATTATTGGTTTTGTGTCCATGACAATTTGTCGTCCAGACAAACAGATTGGACATAACATGAGTACAGAGTCCACACCATGCAAATCATTAATGTATAACAATCATAACTTTCCTGTAAGTTAAATAAAACAATTAAATATACATTTTTATTTTTAAATATTAATTGTAGTATATATTTATAAAATATATTTTTTAATTATTATAGATGGTAAATCATCGAAGAACACAGTCATTACCTCCAAGACTTGGATCTAGATTACGTGTTCCCTTACAGAACTATCTGTATTTATTATTTGATAATGTATCGTTTGTTACTTATCGTTTTCATTCTGGTCTAAGGGGTGATATATCTGTTTATGAAATAATGGCTGAAAGCAAGTTATGCTTTTATTTACCACAACAATTATTGTAAGCACTAGTAAATACTCATCTAAGTTAGTAGACAAAAAGTGAAAATTAACCATTCTTGTAAATAGAAACATATGGATACTTGAAGAAAAAGAACTTTTGCAAGAAGTGTCAGGAATGGGTGAATTGTCTGAGCCATGGCACTCAAAACAAGTAGAACTACTTGACCGACATTTGCAACTATTACATTTGTATTCTCAAGCCAAACAAAATCTCGAAAATCAGAAGGGTAAATTTTTAACACTTTCTTTGATACATTTTTGAAGATAATTTATCATACATAATTATCTTCCAAAGTATTTTATCCATATTTATATGATAATTATTTGTGTGTTTATTATGGTTGGATGAATGTTTTAATACTCTATACATAATATTTTGTAGAAAATCTGGTATTTTTCTACTTTACGGGACAACTTTTTTTTTGAAACTTATGTAGTTAAGTACACTGAAAAGTGAAAATTATAGTAAAGTTAGAATTTGGCACTTTGCATAGTTTCGAAGTAATGGCACTTCAAAGTTTGTATATATAGAGCAGAGAAAATTATAAGAGTGGATATACGGCGGTTACCCTGTGACTAACTTGAGGTGTTGTTACATAGCAATTCGAGGGATATTTTTAAATTTTTTCTTCCGAGCAAAGCTCAGAGAGGAAGTGGTAATGTGGGTATCACTGCCGTCTGCCCCAAAAATGGGGTGTCCTGTAAAGTAAAAAAGTTCTGAAAATCTAAATCTAAATTTTTTTTAGGAGTTCATTTTAAACCAAGTTCCCGTAAAAACGATCGTTCTTTAGAGTTTGCGCCAACGAACTTACACTTACAACGCATTTGGGTTCAAAATGATACACTAAAAAAGAGTGGATTTTATGATACAATTACAGTTGGCGCATTTACTGCACATTCACATAAATCTAAAACTGGAGGATTGATAAAGTAAAACGAATTTCTAAGTAAACAGTAAAATATAATATTTATGGATTTTATAATATATATATATTTTAGATTATTACAACAACTCAAAGAAGCACCACTTAAAACAAACGGCCATGCCATGGCCAGTAGTAAAATTACTATGGCGTTTGATGCCATTCAAGCCATTAAACTTCTAAGACGAGAGGTAGTAGATGCAATGAAAATTTTGTTAAATTTAGCCAAAGACAAACAAACTGCAGGGATGATGCCAATTTGTAATGATATGATATCCAAAGTAATTATATTTTTAAAAATTACTATTAAAACCTTTTTGATGTTTAGCATTATTTAATTAGTAAATTAACTGTTGTGTGCGCTTAATAAATTTAGCTTTATCAGTTGCTCATAATTATTCACTACTACCTGTCATATTTAATTATAAATGAAATGGCCAATCCTATTGAGCGTACATAACCTAAGAATGTGCTCAATGATATTGTAATACATATTATAATATTATAATTTATAATTTTTAGACTCGTATTTTGCTAAGCCTCTGGGATCCAAAACTTGTTGAAGAAGCTTTAAATTTTATTGAAGAACATAAAGTGACGCCTGTCTTGTGTGATGACAATGAATCCACTAAAAATACTTCAAATTATCATGTATCGCCATTTAAACGTATAGCAAGCCAGATAAATTTTGATCTACAATCACCAGATACTGAAGATTTGTATACTCCGGAAAGCCCAAAATGTTTGAGGAATTTTATGAAGTTTGATTCAAAGGAAATCCAAGAGGAAAATGACTTGAGCGGTAATGAAGACCAACAACAGTTTATTGTGTTTCCAGAATCTAAGGGTGAAATGGACAATAATCAAGAAGATGCAAACCATTTTTCTGGTATGTTTTTGAATCAAATTTTCATTATACTATAATATATTTTATATATTAAAGTACCTACTATGAAAATATATTTAAAAAGAATATTTTTAGGTTCAAAAGAAAATTCACTACCTAATGAAAGCGGCAATGGTATGAAAACAGGTCAATTTTTGGATACTTACTCAATGTGTAATTCACCGTCAGCCAACTATTATAAGCCAACTGAAGAACCAGAACCTTGGGAACTTACTCAATTGAATATTGAAGCTAGTATTATGTGTCTTGTGAGCAAAGTTAAATTTTTGTGTGGTCGTTGCAATAGTCCAGCAGTAAGGTTGAGGTCTCAAAGAAGTCATAGCTTTCGTTCAAATTCATCAATAAATCAAGTAAATAATTTTTACATAATTAATTATACATTTTATGTTTCCTTTGATATTATGTTTATAACAATATTTTCCGTATTATAATATACATTATGCTACAAAATACAAATTTAATATATTCATACCATGTCTAATATATGACAAAACTATTGTTATTATTTAGTATTTATAATTACTCAAAAATATTTTAGGCAACAAATTGTCATCAGCCTGTGAGCTTGGATTCTAGAATCACTCAAATTTCCAATAATGAAGCACAAACAACAACTAATAACAAGTGAATATAAATACTTTTAAAATCTTTTACTAAATAGAATAAATAAATATATTATTCTATGTTTTTAGTGCACCTTCTAGAAACAAGTTTACAGAAGGACTTGATTTTAGTCTAATGACCGATTGGGGTTCTGAATTAAAGCCAAGCATGCGTAAACTTCGTCAAGCTATGGATGGGCTTTTAAAAACTGCTAGACTTACGCATAGTGTTTTTAGAGTACAAGAGGATAAACGGTCAGCTGAAAGGTCATGCAACGTTCGTTACCGTAGACATGTTTGTTTTTCACAAGCGGTAATTAAAATAAATTATTTAAATTAAATTTAAAGAGCACTCAATTTTAATATTAATTTTTCTGTAGTTGACTGCTCTGGTTAGTGGTTTAATGGCGAGATTGTGGTGTCAAAAACCTGAACCTGAATTTCTGTATGTATTGTCTTCAATTGGTTGTTTAGCCTCTTTTGAATGTCTATTGAGTTACTATGGTAATGAGATTGACATGTGGGGTGACATGGCTATTGCCATTGAAGATCTTGCCACTGTGAACTTCACCTTATTACCATTATCGCAAGCTGTTAGGTATTATTTATAAAATAATAAAAATAATATATATTTAACTATTAATATTATTCTTGTAGAGAAAATCCAAAAGATGAAATCATGCCACGGATTGTTGGCTCTAAGAACTCTTTATGTGTTTTATTACCAGTTCCTGATTTAATTCAATCTTTACTGCCTTCTAAAAACATTGCTCCATTTCGGGTTACGCCTGTTTTTTTTAATATGGGTATTAATGAAATGGCAACTATTGCAGAAAACCTTGGAAATACAAAACCACAGGATAGCAGCAATATTGATAATTTTGAAAGATTAAACGAATTCTGTTCGAGATACCGAAAACTTAATTTATCGAATAATGGTGATTGTGAGCGACAAGGCACTTCTATTGCAGAACTAATGAGCAATTTAAAAGATTCATTACAAAGCAGTAAGAGTAAAAATGTAGAAATACTACAAACAGCAGCTATAGTTTGTCGCCGTTTAAAAGGTAAAATATCTAATATTAAATTTTATGATTTTATTATTATTGTTTGTACTGCTTTAAATTAAAATTATTTTCAATCTGCATTATTTTGAGGTATACATGCTTTTATCCTAACTTTATAATTATTTTTAGGTTTGAGATTTACAAGTTGTAAAAGTGCCAAAGACCGAACTGGTATGTCTGTTACACTCGAACAGTGTTCTATTCTGAATTTGGAATATGGACTTGCAGAAAGTGAAATTCAAAGAGCATTAGATTGTATGAGAAGGTATATATAATTGCTTGAATATTATAATGAAAAAAAAAATAAATAAGAAAAACTTACAATTGTCATAATGTGCCATGTGAATATGTAATTTCTTTCAGTGAGGGGTGTAGGAGAGAAAATGCATACAAAAACACTGGTGTCAGAAAATATGCATTTAACAGATTGCAACACTTCACCTTACCACAAATGTATAGACCTCCAGCAGGTACTTATGGATCAAGCCAAACTTAAATGGATGGTTACCATGGTTGTTATACCATTTTGTTATTTATTTTATTTCATTTTTCTTTATTTATTTTTCTTTCTTTCAATTGACAAACTAAATTATCAATGTTCCTATACTGAGACTGCTGTCTGACGTACTTAGAACTTCTGCGAATAGTTTTTGAAATAAGAAAAACTCACTACCATAATAATTATTATTCATATTTTTAATGGGTTTTATTTTCAAGAGAAAGAATAAGTGCTAATATTCATTTGCTTGATTGATTTTGAGGTTGATTAAAAAAAATGATTTTGAATTATTATGAGAGGTTTTGGTCCAGATTAAGCAAATTAGTGATAATGGTTGATTTTGTCCATAATATATGGTGGTCTGTATTATCCAGTGGATGGATTAAATGGAAAATTCTGTATTAGTTATTTTACGAATTGAATTAGTCATTACTCACATAATACTTATTGAACATTAAACTGGTTTAAACTATGGCAGCATGAAGAAATACTTATTTAGTCTGATATTCAGATAGAATTATAGAAGCATATTATTTGAGAAGTAAACAAAAATGTATACTAATATGTTTTAATTTTTTATACTACTCTGCATTTTATTTAGCAAGGTGAATTAATGAGTTCTAAACAATATAATGTATTACACTATTACATTTCGTTTAAACGGTTTAAAACTCAGCAAAATATACAATTATTACGAATGTTTAATTTCTTGTTTTAATTGCTCCAAATGTGAAAATGGTTGTCTAGAAACTTGATAAGTACGTAGACACTGCAATTATAGGATGAAATGTGTTTCATTTTAATTAATAACAATTTTTTTTAAAAAGTTATTTAATTTGAATATCTTGACTGTTTAATTATTGACTATATAATATGAATCAGAGGCTGAAGAGTGTGGACAGTGGAAGGATCAATGGTTGATTCAATTTGATATGTTGCCATGTAGGACTCCTCAAGCCTCCATATTTATGGACAAAATTATTTTAGTAATAATTTTGATTGTATTCATATTATATAATAACAATAAATAATTGTATAGTGTATACAATATACATTATTATATTATTTCATTACTAAATAGTAAATACTGATCATATATTCATATACATGTTCTGGGTTGCATGAACAATCACTAAACATAACGAATCAATATCATGAGCAAACAGTCCCTTAAACATGATAGTGGCCCGTAGCTGGTCCATTAAATTTTATTGAACCATTAAATTAATACATTTTTCATGCGATCCGGCATTAATGTATTATAAATTGGGTTTGTCGTCCATTGTTATTATTCAGTCATATTGCAGTATATGACAACAAACAATTTTTATATTTCAACTTCAATTTTAGAAAATAATTATAATATTTAAGACTTATCTTATTTATAATTAAAAAGTGTAATAAGCTTTAATTACATTATATCAATTATTAATGTTATTTGTCTATTTTTAAGACACAATGTGTGCCAAGCTTAAGTACAAACTTAGTTAACACTAATTAATTAAATTAACGTTTACAGTTTAACTTAAAATACTTAATGTTATGGGATTGAGCATGTGTCTTCCTGTTATTGATATTAAACCATAGATATTAGATTCTGTATTAACTACGGATATAATGTTGCTCAACATGTACAACAGAAACTTGAAATTATAATATAATATTTATTGTATTTACTTACTTTTAAGCTATTTAAAAATTGAATTTTAGTATCCATTCATATATAACCTAACATTGTATATTTCCAATAAACAATTTTATGTTATTGATAAATGTATATTTATAAGTTTATAACCATTTTGTTTTTTAGATTTTATTGTTAACTAAATTATGTTTTTAGTCTGCACATCTTTATACTTGAAAATTATAGCTGAAATGTTACCATCAACTGAGTGATTTAGAAATTGTCAACAAATTTATTATTTGTTATGCATTTCATTTTTATTATTATTTCTTCTATGTAGTATTTATGTTTATTTATACATATACATTTTTTTTATTAAAGTTATTACATTGAAATTGTTTTTTTTTTTATCTATTCTTGTTATATTTGTTTCTATTAATATTTTCCTAAAATTATAAACAAATTTTATCATATAAACTGAAGGATCTTTTTGTATTATGATTATATTATTTAAGAGTTCAGGCTTACATAAAGTATTATTGACATTTTATTGTTTATTTTGTTGTACCAAACTATTTTGTAAATAGTTATATTATTTGATGTGCAATTCAATTGTTTTAGATGATTTAGTGTTTATTATTAAATAGTGATTACAAACATTGTTCAAGTGTAGAATGAATCACAATGTACAATACATTTATTATTACTTATCATGGAATACTATTACACTTTGTCTAATACCTGCCACTTAATTTGTTTTTAATTGCTAATTATTACTGTACTTAGAATATCATGTTTATATGTTTAAAGTAATATAAATTATTTATTTATAACTGATGGCCGATTAACTAACTGCTAGTAGTAACTATTTTGGATATTATATAATAATCCGTTTTTGCTATCTTGTATACGTATACTTAACTAATCCTTAAACTTCCTGGCCTGTTATAGTGTTATTGTTAAACAAATATATTATGTATAATATTTATATTAATGAAGTTTTTAATTGCTGCTGAAAATTATATTGTATAATTATATTATAATGAGTGTTTGACAAATAAATACCCAACTAAAATAATATAATTTAGCTATAAAAATTAGCATAATTTTAAAAATGCTGATTCTTTTTACAATTTATGAGTTAAATCAGTCTTATACTCTTCTTATGGTAGGTATATTTCAAAATATTTATTTTTATTACATCAAAAAAATTATCACTAGGTATTTCATTAGTTTATTTGCAGAAATGTCCTTAATTTTTTAGTCATAGATCAATAACATGTTTATATTGTATAAAACAATAAGTAAAACATTTGGATAAGAAAAAAAAACAAGTACAATATGAAAATATATACAATTTACAAATAAATTTTAAAAAATTAACAATAGTGGTTAACTTAAAACCACAGTTCTCCTAAATCGCCTTCAGTTTTAATTTCCAAGCTGTCATCATGAGGACTGTCTTCATCCGAATCGCTGATTTCCAAATCATCTTGGATATTTGCGCTGGCATGGTTTTTACTACTTGACCCTGGGAGATCTTTTTCATCACTAGTATCTAGATTACGACTACCTGTAGGTAGGAAGTCTGAAGGATCATAATTTGGATCGAGGTCCATACTTTCATCGGCTATTAAAAAAACAAAAATTATACGCTGTTAGATTAGTATGATATTCGTATTTCACCTTGGATATGATTGGAGAAAGTTTCAGGAGCAGGATTGTATCCCATGTTACCGAGCAAAACCATGGCTTCTGCTACTTGTTGACTGTCGTCGTCTGGCGGATTTTCTCCAACAACTTCCATGAAATCATCCTCTTCACTCGAACAATGTAAATCTAAAAACAAATAATAACCACAAATTAAAACCTTGCAATATACGTATTTTTGTTTTTTTTAACAACTTACCATCTTCCAATATATGATTAGTTTCTGTTTTAAAATTGCTATCTGGATCCATTTGGAATTCTATGTCTTCAATGTTAACTTTGTGTTCTCTCGGTGAATTTAAATTCTGAAAAATGTTTTATATTACTTCGCATGTCAACAGAAAATTGTTTAAAATGAATAATACAAAACATTTTGTTTTACATATATATGTACTAAATAATAAGGAAACAGAACATACGTCTTCAACATCTTGCATATCTGAATAATCATCCTCGGCAGCAGAATCCATTTCAACCTGTTCTAGAGCTCGGGCCTGAACTAAACTGATATTTTGTTCCACTTGGGTCAAGTATTGATCAAACTGAAATTTATATGAAAATAAAATTTTTCTTGTCGCAACATTCATTGTTTCAATTATTTACCTCTTCTAATGATTCTGTGGCCACACTTATCAATTTTTTTGCTTGTTGTGTGAAGTCTGAATCTTCGCCATTATAAGCGACACTGTTTTCAAAAATTAAATTTATGTCTCCCAAAAATTCCTTACGGTTATGATACTTATGACCTGAAAAAATTAAATATGTAACACAATATGTGTTATATAAAAGATTTAGTGCATTGGACATAATCTTAGGTGTGTGCACAGTCATTTTTGGCATGGAGTAGAATTTTTTATAACAATATGTTCTTTTATTATTGTATTTTTTAATATCAATCATGGTGTAAGTCTTCAAGATATAAGATTAATTAATAATTAAATTTTTGCACTATATTTAGAGATAAAATTTAGCCAACAGGTGGGGCAGCTGCCCACTCTCCTCTACCTGACAGCAAGTTCTAATAATTTTAAATGATTAATAACTCAACTAAAGTATTTTGATTATTATGATAATACAGCAATTATTGTAATTTAATATGTAATTATGTTAATATTTATATTAAGGATTTTATAAAATCGAAGAAATTTAAATTATTTAAATCAGTGAAGAGTTAGAAAGTAGGAAACACAAGTTTTTTTGTTACCAATATCGGTAAAACACATTATATTTAATATTATTTCAATCGAGTGAAGGTTAGAAATGTTGAGAAGACATTCGCAAATATGTTTTAACAATCACTTATTACAATAACAGCTAGGAGGATCAATATTAGTAAACTCAGCCCGTGACCACAAGACAAGACACATAAACACCCATAAACACAAGACATAATTATTGAGAGTTAAGCTCAATATTCCATATAATCTATGTAAGCTCCAAGTACCAGACCAAGATACCAATACTCAACTCTAAATATTGTAAACAGCCAACAATACGCGCTTTGGTGGCATAGTCCTCAACTCGCAGATTCGGGATATGTAGATATAATTTATATTAGCTATATATTATAGCTTTTATAGCTAACTGTATAAGTTGGTAAGTACAATTTCTACTAATATTATCAAATACATTTAAATACACATCACTTAAGACAAAATGTATG